GTAGGTACTTATTTAATTGGGCCATTTTTTATCGAAAGAAATTTAACGTCAGATAGTTGGTGTAAATGTTCGGCGTTATTTAGATGAGATATTTCCCGGACGATAAATTGGTAGACAAGGTAGAATTGAATGGCCTCCACGTTCACCCGATCTCAATCCTAAAGATTATTTTTATTAGAGATACTTGAAAAATTCAGTTTACAAAACTTAACCAGCAAGTCTTGCATAGCTAAGGCAATGAATTATCGATGAATCTCGAATAATTTCTAGACAATCATGGAGAAATGTGGTAGACGCATTCTACCATCGATTAGAGTGCTGTCAACTCACAAATGGAGCACATTTTGAACACTTAATAACGTAACTATTATGTTAAAAATATTCTAAACTATCAATTGTTACGTTTTAATGTATTTGAAAATAGTTAGTATTAAAAAATGTATTGAAACAATTTAGGCGTTGCCAGACTTCTGTTTTATGTATTTAAGACCTTCCAGACTACATAAAATCATAAGTGTTACATATGGTTGAACTCGTATTTAATAGGAGATTCCAATAGTGACTGAATATACAGGGTGATGCATTTGAAAAACCAAAGTTACTAGTAATATAAGAGAAACTGAAAATCTGGCAACATTGCAAATACCAAATATGGAATCTCCGTATCCCAAAATAGGCGTATCTCAAATTTTGTATAATTATGTCTAGTAATTTACGAGATAATTAGCCGTTTCCACACTTTTGGGCCACTCTGTATATAAACATAGCAGCAAAGATGAGTTCACAAAAAAAAACTAGACATAAATAGAGCGATGTATAAGTCGAATAATGAGAAAATTTTAAAGTAAAGTATTTAAAAAAAGTATTAAGGGATTATTCAATCACTATCTCTTGATAATTGAGAAACAATAAGATTGTTGTCAAGAAACTATTGGTCGACTTTAAAAAAGCGTACGACGATATATCTCAAAATCATCTATGGAAAGCTTATCAAGCCTTTTTCTAGGAAAATAACATATTTTAGCAAAAAAAACACTGTTTTTCTGAACCTATGCTGAGACTATTCTGTCCCAAACAAAAAATAATACATAGGATAAATCAAAGAACCGAGGTGTTAAGGGAAACAAGAAGAAAACTGTCAGATAGTACCACACAGATACACACTTGACTTTTTTTGTATTAAAACGATATAAGAGCCATTGGAGTCCGTCGTCCCTAAAAAATGAAGAAGAAACAGAACTTTGAAGCCTTTTTTTTCTAAATATAAACATAACACATATACTTTTTATATATATCTTTAAAAATTATAAAATTTATAAACTATTCGCATAAAAACATAAAAAACTCTAGTAGATATCTATTTTTCGATATTATCACTATTATACAATATACATAATGCTATAAACAAGAAGTGGAAGTACTCTTTTATTGGAAGTCAAAAGTGAGCAAAAATGCAAATATCGATTTTAAAGTATACAGGTATTAAATTCTACATTTTATTTATTTGATTTTTTATTTATAGAAAAAAGTAACGATATCATCGTTTTGTGTTTAATGTTTCGTATGGTTACTCTTTTTGCTTTTTAAATATACTCTTTACATACATATATTTATGATAAATATCGTCAAAGGAAACTATAACTGTTTATACTCTGCTCAAAAATTGATCATTTCTGAGTGAGAGAGGAAAAACATCATTCAACCAAATCAGCGGCTAAATAAGAATTTTAATCAAATAAAAGGCTGATATCTTTGATGCTTTGGTGAATACTTTTACTCTCAGAGCATCTTCAGGGACATTTCGTCAAAAATGTAGGCTATTACATAGCTTTAAGTACACAGGCATGAAGTATTCGAAGCGATAAAAAAAATAGGTCTAGATATGGTGTTTAACGTGAAAATATAGTAATAAGTTTTGTTTTATTTATTTATTTACGCCGTAAAGACCAGGGTTATTAGGGGACCTAAATGTATAATACAGGTAAAGCTAGAAAAAATTACAATAATTTATACAGTCCCTGAGTCTTTAAGATAACATTATTCTGTTTTTAATGTTCATGTTTTTTCCTAGGCTTCCTTTATATTATTTGGTATAGTGTGCTTCTTTCTTGCTGCTTCACTAATGTTTTTGCACTGGGTTAGTATATGCTTCACGGAGAGTGTTACTTGACACGTTTCACACATGGCGGCACAGTTCGCGTAAAGAGGGTTTATGTGTAAAGTTACTGTGTCCTACTCGCAAACGTGTTATTCTCACTTGGTCGTGTCTATTCGCTGTAGGTTGGAGCCACGGTTTCACTAATTGTTTGATTTGCTTGAGTTTTATTTTGAGATGCACTCCACTTATTTTGCCACGCACTATAACACTTTATGTTTTATTTTTGACTTAAAGTCATCTGAAGAAACCCTCATTAAATAAGAATGGAGTCCTGGCTGAAGGATGCTAAGCGGGCTAGTTCATCTGCTTCTTCATTTCCTGTTATACCTGAATGTGATGGAACAAAACATGAAGTCAACAGTGATCTAATTATTATTTAGAATCTCCATTTTCTATTTGATATGCTGAGGAAATTGGATTATTGGTATATAAACGTATGATAGTGTGAATGAGTTTAAGTGAAACGGTTATTATGATAGATGGGACATGTTGCGACTCTTTTATTGGAAAAGTTCTTGTAATATACAAACACTCCGCAATATAAGACGAATAATGGGATTGAATTTAAATTTTAAGGAGTCTTGGGTGTAATGATGGTCCTGCACCAACACCGTCTGAAATATGGATGCGGCATTGTATAACATAAGTGATTTTTTATAAGTTTACATTTCTGTTAAAATGAATGTTTTTGATCAGTCCTGATGTAGTCTCACATTTTTTATATATACGAAGGTTAGTATTAATCTTGGGAATTGGTATTAACCAATGGTGGAGAAGTTAGGAAATTTTGTTGTGAGAATTTCAGGAAATGTCGTGGCCATGAAGTTGTTTTCTAACATCTACGAAAAATGGTGGATCTAGTCCCTTCTTGTAGAGAAAGTGTCTTTACAATCGATCTGTGAACGTAAAGGGATAAGAAGGATTTTATTTACTACTACCTATTTTAGAAGGCATAAGAGAGAGAAAGTTAATTGTACCGTAAACATAGTGGTGGTTTCTCCTGTTAAGCAATGTAAACCGCAACTATTGTCGTTCTGAACGCACCTGAAGCTATTTCTTAAAGTCTATGTTTTGAAACAATTCTAATGTTATCAATACTTGAAAAACTTTGTCTAAATGAAAAAACTATCGCACCAAAATTGCACTTGTAACGCCTCTGCGAAAAATACTTGCTTATTTGCCAATTGCTTCATGTAATCCGACTCTAATCTATTAGGTTATCTATAGTGGAACAATTATTTGCTCTAAATCCTCTTTGTTGTGGAATAATAGTTTTTGGTTGTTCTTAAATACCATCTCACCTTTATTTCCATTTCTCTAACACATTACAATAATATTTGGTTAAAGATATTGACTATATTACTCAGGTGAAGTCCCAGGATTTCTCAAGTTCACGAAGGTGGTAGAATTTATTGCTTCGGACCAATATGAATGGGAAAACCTGTAACCTCCATATAAAAGTATAAAAGGTCCTAGTAATGAATTTTTTCCATTGTGGGTAGATGTAGAAGAAATATGATTACCGTCCTTAACCAGGGCTGAGAAACTTTTCAGAGATTAAGGCTTCAGCAAGTATTCTATGAAGGAAAAAGAAACGAAAGGTTAATGAATCACATGTCCGTTCGAATCCCAATACGTTTTTTTTCTACGTTGATTTTATTGTAATTTTATCGTCACAAGAGGAATTTAATTTCGTATTTGGTCCTGCATTTAACTATATCTACAATTTCTATTTTTCTATCCCTAAATTATTGTTTTTGTTTTTTTTAGCAAAAAAAAGAATCTTATATTTTGGCTTTTGCCAGATATTTTCCTTAAAGTTTCTCCAAACTGTAACTTATGCTGTGAAGAAGGTATTTAGAGATAAAAGAATATTCTCCAGGATTCTTTTCAAATCTATTTTATAAATATCTTGCCTCATCTCTTCGTTTTTTGTAGTCCATTATGTTTTCGTTCGTCCTGTATATGATGCTTTAGTTTTATTGAAATATTTCTTATACGCTCTTGTAGCATGGCTGCATTCAGATGTCCAAAACACGGAAAAATTTTATTTTCTTTATAATTTTTGTTTTTTTCTTACATACGACCCTCTACCATGCGGCTGCTGTGATGATTTGTAAAAATGTACTTAAAAACTTGTCAAATGTCGTTTGATGATTGTAATGTTGGTTTGGTTAATGTCCCATTCGATCTGTTTGGTAAAATTTAGTTCCAATCACATTTTTTTGATGTTTAAAGAAAATATAAAGGGGTAGTGATCACTACAATATAAGTAGGGTAAATGTCCCATGTTAGCGTAGTGGACAGAACTGGGTCACACAGAGAAATATCAATTGTCGATGATGTGCCATTATGTAAGTTGAATCTGGTTGGTCTTCCGTCAGTAATAAGTTTTAAATTTACGAAAATTAAAACGATATACCATGAAAGGAAAACAATTTAAAGTGTTTGTGTCTGTTGGAAAGGAAACCCTCAACACACTTAGATAAAAACAAAACCCTTAGATGAGGGAAGAAATTATTGAGCTTATGAAAGCAATAAGTAAACAAAGAAATACAAAGAAATTTTTAACCTTCGATAGAAGATATAACTTAACGAAGAGGAAATGATTATCTTCACTTCAGTCATACTAGATATCTAGAATGTCAAAAGGATTAAGCTTTGGGTGACGTCGTCTCTCCCACATGTCTTATAAGTCTGGATGTCTCGAGCAGTACTGTTGTGCATTATATTAAATACTACAGTTATAATTTCCCTTAAAGATCATCTTAGTTATTATTCCCGTTTTTCTTAATTTGAAAGACAAACTTTTCTTAAACACTAGAATTATTTCTAACTAACATTAGACCGAACTAATGGCTTGGTGCGATGTACAGTGACTGTCGGATGAACACACCGACAGAGGTATTGGACTGTACGTCATATTGTTGTAATCGTTACAGTTTAGGTACAGTCTAGAACTGGTACGGTCGCAGTCAGGACACGACCGTTTCTTCTTTTTGTTTCTTTTAAATAATTCATAGGCACATCTGAAAAACAAGCACTATTAGAAATATTTTATTTCGTCTTAAATGGCCTTACATTTAGACTTAAAATCACAATGTATTTCTAATGAAAACTCTTGTTACTAAAATATTTTACCTTGCATGAAGGATATGAGCACAAGGCAGGGCTTCGAGAGAGTCACTTTCAAGGCCATAAGGTGATCCACATCCGCCACATTGCAAGTCTAAATCCTCTTGAATCCGGAGAGCGAGTCTTTCGTGGTGTAGCTTTTGGTCTTCGTCTCCCAAAGCGTGGTAGATCCGGGACAGTCGAATCCGTACTTTTCTCACTAGAAGCTGTAAATATAAAAATATATCACATAAAAGAATGAAGGTGCTACATATCCAGGCTAAAAGGATGACAGTCTACCTAATTCAGATTGCTGACCACAGAGGTCTCTGTATTAGTGCTGTTTGTTGCCCAGATGTTTTGTAAACGTACATATCTGTGTTTATTTATAGCTTTCTGTTATTCTGGTGTAGATTGGTGTTATTTTATTATTGAAGTATTGTGTTGTTTAAAATGTCAACATGTTTAAAATGTGACAACGAGTATTCTGCAAAAATTGAAAACTGTTCAAGAAAAAGAAGGTTTTGGTCACATACAAGATGTAATGAAAAAATTAAGGTAAGGTAGCCATGATTTAGGACCAGATTCAGACTGTGTTTAAGACTTGACTGCTTTAAAAAGTTTAAGAACACATCTTCAAAACAACTTACTAATCTTTTTATTATATCTTAGCTTACCTTAGCACCAACTGAACTAGCTACTTCAAGTAACCTAGTATTAAATTCTAAGGGTCTACAGTTGCATATCTTGTGCTGAAGCCTTAATGCTTCCAAACACCTCGCTGCGCCATCCATTGATTCCATTTGTATCACCCGATCTCCCATAGCAGCTGCAGAGCCCATTGCTGTTTCGTATTGACGAAAGGCTTTCTGTAACATAAGATTTTGCTATGTAAATCACCTTAGCATATTTAAATACCAAATTATATTATTAATATTAAATACTCAACAAATAAAGCTTTATTAGAAGTAATAGAACATATTGTTCACAGCCTTTTTTATGATCAAGGGGATCATTTTTGGGACTCTGCTATTCTTGATATATATATAAATTATTTACCAAGTGCTTTGGAAAACACCAACTATGTTCTTTTGCAGAGGTTAAACTGCAGCTGCAAAACAGAGGTTATTATGTAGAGGTAACACTGATTACAGTCAGGAAATATTAAAAAAATCTAAATCCTGGTTTAACTGTAATAAACTTAAGTTAAACGAGCAGAAAACCCAGACAATAGTATTTAGCTCTGATAGATGGGTCACACCATCTGAACCAGTAAAGTTACTAGGTGTTACTATGGATACAAGGTTAAACTCATCGCATCATATTGAAGGAATGTGTAAGAAGCTCACCTCACAGATTTTTGCCATACGCAGATTGGCTACTTCTGTGAATCTAGATATTCTTAGGTCAGTTTTTTTGAAATGGTTCATAGTATACTAATATATTGCATAATTCTTTGGGCAAACTCGTCCTATGCATATAAAATTTTTACTTTTCAAAAGCAGCAATCCAAATTATTGTCTCAGCAGAATATCTCGCCAGCTGCACCCTTGTTTAAAAAGTATAGCATTCTTCCTTTACTTTCAATATATATATTTGAAAGTGTTTAACTGTTCATAATGATATACAAGATGTAAAAACTTATGCTGATCAACATCAGTACAATACAAGAAATAAAAGTCATATCATTATACCATATTCCAGATTGTGTGTTACACAACTTAATACAATAGATTATAATATGTATAATTGTTGTTTAAACCTGAACAAAAGTATTATTATTAAGGCAATAAACTTTTATAAATTAGCAAAACACTTCTTGCTGGAAAACTATTTCTTAGTTATTTCTAGCTAGGACTTATTTCTTAGTTATTTCCTATGTATGCATAAGTGACTTATTTATATTGTAACATGACATGTAGCGTTTACTATGTAAAAATTGTCAATAAACGTATCTATCTATCATTCATAAGAAGTAATTTTTTTGAGTAACGTACTTTTTTTAAATTTTTCTTTACTGATGGGATTTATGTATCCCACTATTTAACACTAGTGGGACATATATTATACATGTATTTTCTTAGGATACAATTGTCTTTATTAGGTCTCCAGGTGTAAACAAATGTCATTAAAGTTATTTTAAACTATTTTATTTCGCTGCAATGAAATCAGTAACGAAGGGACTAAAAATCAACACATAATTCTCTACAGAAAACGCGTAGGTTTTCTTTCTATAGGTATCGATTAAATAAATACTTGGTAGTTGGTAGATACTTTGATTATTCTAAAACTGCAAACATGAGCTTTTTTACTCGTTTCCTTGAATCATTCTACGCAATTTCATACTATTTTCGAGAATAAAGATATCATGGTGGAACATTTTCAAATCTCCACCCTGTAGATATATTTTCCTGTATATATAGATGTATATATTATAAGGTAAAAAACTTAAATATAGTCCGTCTAGAAAGTACTCGGAAAAAAGAAAGCAGAATTATAATTTTATGGTATTTATTTTTATCATTTCAAATTTAAAATTGCAACAAATGATTCATCTCATTTACTTATACAACTTCCATTTAAATCTAAACCTTACTAAACGTCCAGATACTCCCAAAACTAGGTCAAGGCCATAATTTTCTGTAAGGGTGTTCCAGGCCTGTAAAACTGACCGACTTAAACCATCTTTATCTCGTCGCGCTGCTCGTTCCACTTCAATCTTCATCATTCCCCATATGTTATCAATGGGGCTAAGATCTGGAGATGCTGCTGGCCACGAAATTGTGGCCACTTCGTGTTCTTGCATCCAAGCTTGAGTATAAGCAAAAAAATGGCATCTTGTATTATCATGTGAAAACGCTATCCCTCTGGATATAAAACATGAGCCGTTTAGGAAGAAAACGATTTAGGAGATCAAAATATTTCGCACTATCAACAGTACCATTAACTATACAGATAGGTGTAGCACCACGTTGAGATATTGCTCTCCAAACCATTATTTTAGTGGGAAATTTGTAAATTTGAACGGTAACATTTTCTCTTGATAGGACTTTTAGATGATTTGCACCAAGCTGGAAACAACTTTCATCAGATTTAAAGACCTCATTAAAATTATCTTCTCGAAAACGTTGACAAACATCTATTCTTGGTTGTCTTTGCAGAGGTGTCATTGTAGGGATTTTTTTTGCTAATTTTCGAAACCCTAGGGGTGGATTTTGTTCTAAAGCTACTAAAGCATTTAAATTGTTTCCGCGAATCTTACGCGGTCTACCCGAAACTGGTCTATGTCTCATATCTATGCCATTTTTCATCCTCTTTATTGTTTCATACACTGCACTTTTTCCGAGTTCAGTCAATTGCACAATTTTTTAAACGTTTCGGACACTCTTTCTATACAAATATTTCACCAATTTTCTTTCTCTACTTGCGACATTATTTCACAAATCTTAAATGTGGCCGCACACAGAAAGAGCAAAAACTGTTTTAGTCAAGAACGTTTTTGTTTGAAACGAAAACGTTTTTATTTCCACAAGAAACATTTTGTTTTCAAGAGAAACAAACTGTTTGCACAAACCATACTGCAATCAGTTTATTAAAGATGCGACAGATTACTGACGAAGTTACATAGTTTTATGGTAATTTGTCATTCCTAGAAGACTATAACAGTTTTTCGGCAGTGCTTGTTACAAATATGGTGCTCTTTTTAATATTCGAGGGTTTCAAAAGGGAATTCCAAAAACACGTTGCGCCTGCGTACATGAAATGTTTCGACACAAACGACGATCTGGTAATCAACATCAAACAGACTGACTGAAACTAAATGAGCCTAAACATGCTTTAGACACACGACTAATCAGTGTGCGTCCGCTCATTTAATTTATATGGAAATATCAGCATCAACACTCGTTTAGTCAAAAACGTTTTTAACTAAAACAGTTTTGCTCTTTCTGTGTGCGGCCACCCTTAGTCTGTTTACAAACAAAAATATTTGACATAATATGGTGTTGTCATGCGATTTTGTCCATAACCTACTATCGACACAGCCTACTTAATGCATTACTTCTGTCTTAAAATGTTACAAAAAGGAAATCTATTAAAATTAGGAATAATATAAAATTCCGGATACTTTCTAGATGGACTATACAATATAAAAACAGTTATCTTTTATAGCAATACACATTTTTTCTGTATGTAAAACATTTTTGATTCGTCACGCCCCAATTTGTATCACAATTGATTGTGGTTTTTAAATTTTAATGTGCCGAACGCCCTCACGGCATCGTTCGGCGTCCTGCAAATTATATGTATCAGCTGCTGCACCAAATGTGGCGCACATAATTGATTGATCCGGACCGAATTAATCAAATTCCAAAAACTTTATCAATTTGCGGTATAAACGTAAATTGACTACTGGAAAATTCATCTTCATTTAAAAGTTTCCGGTTTCGGGCAGTAACTTCGAGAATGTTTCTTTGCGAGAGAATAATTGATTTTTTTATACCTCTTGCCATCCACGGAATGAGGTGTTTTATATAGTTTACTGGATTGTGATATATTGTGTACGTCTTTGGTGATAAACGATATGTATGGAAATACACAACAAATATTGATGATTTTTTCAAATTGCGGTATGGGCTTTTGCTATTTTATTGTGTATTTATTATATCTATACTATTATAATAAATAGAAATAAATCTTTGTATAAGTATAGACTTCTTTTATAAAGTCCGATAAACCAGCGTAGTCTAAGCTTTTTTTTTATAAATAAAAGTGTCAGAGTATAGTCCCACATAGTGGCGGTCTCAGAGTCAGATTTTGGGAGGGGCGATGGTCTGTTGCAGGGGGGTCTGGGGAGTGCAGACCAATTTGTAAAAATATGGCAAGATTTTGAGAATTTTAAAGGCATTTTATTCATTTGAACAGTTGATGGACCGAATATGGACTGACTGTCACTTAGTGGTTGTGACGACCGGAGAAAAAGGAAAATCACTTATTATTATTACAATCAGTATCAGTGGAAACAGTTTTACACTATAATAAAAAATAAAAAAGCTAGCCTCTAAAGCTTGTTGTAAATATTGTTCGGCTAACTTACAAATAAAATATTCAAAATATATTTTGTATTCTTGTGATTGTATCAAAAACCAATTTAGAACTATTGAAAACAACTCAAAGTCTAATAGAAAAGGTTTGTGGGTGATAGTATTTTTCAATGGCAAGCCTCTAAAGCAAGTCTCATCTTTCTAAACCTTTGACGATTTAGGTGGTTTAACGTTATCACGAACAAACGTCAAACTTCAGAGGTTTGGTCTGACAATGTTAGTTTTACGCTTGAATTGAAAGAGCTCAAAACACATTTTACCTTTTAAAATGTTAAAATTTACAATAAATATACAATACAAATTAGTCTATTAGGATGGAAAAAAGGAGGCTCACATTATAGGTACATTGTAATAGTTTTATTAGGTTATAAGTAATAAAATATTGAATATGTAGAGTAGCAACTAGCAAGGCTAGCAAGCAACGTCTGACTCATGGCCTGGAATCTTATATGAACGACTTGGTTCATAACCCCCTCTGTGGCTCAGTGGTAAGAGCGCCTGCCTTTAAATCTAAAGGTCGTGAGTTCGAATCCCACCTGGGTGGAAATTTTCGTTAATTAAAAAAATTAATAAATGAAAATAATTTCTATCCTTGTGTGATCGGTACACACCGGAGGGACCGCAGACGTTCGGATACAATTAGCGTCTCTTAGCAAAGACAATGACGTCGACTTTGCTAAGTATCAAGACAATTACTCTACACACACACACACACACACTACACCTCAAATTGTAAGATTGGCGAATGGATTTAGTGTCCGCAGTCA